TCTGTTGTGGAGCTGGGGGTTGTTGAGTAGGGTGCAGTAAATTAATGAAGGGGTCACCAGGATTGCTTCTGGCTAAAAGCTGAGCCAGTACTAACTAAAAAACATCGAACTGTTGCTGCATGGCAGCAAGCTGAGCTGTCACTACGTCTTGGTTGGTAGTGGAAGTTGAATTGTGAGCTGAGGTATGAGGTTGGTTTTCATCTCCTCCTTCTGCATGATCAACAGGAGGGAACACAATTGGGACCTGAGGTGGAAGTGGAGTTGGGATTTGAGGGGGGATCAGAGGTGGAAGGTTGTTGGAGGGTTGACCTTGCCCAAGAGGCAGAGATGAGTTACCAGCTCGAATTGATCGAGTGTGAACCATGATGGAAGAGCAATCAGAAAGCTTTCGGTTCGATTCCCACAGATGGCGCCAATGTAATTGCACCAAACCAGGAGTCCTTCTTCAATCCGCACTTGTACTCTGGGAAGACCTGCAAAGTCCCGAGGTGGAACTCGGGGTAAACACTCCGATGCTTAAGTCAGCAATAATCGGGGCTACCTTTAGAGCGGAGATAAAAAGAGCTTAAGGTTGGTTTCAATTACCTTTCTGAGGTGGCCCCTGGGGGTATTTATAGGCCTTTGTGAGGTATCCACGTGACTTGCTTAGCAGGACAATCGGACCCTGACGTGTCTATCCAGACGATTATTTCGAGACCGGGAATTTGAGAGGTATTCAGATGCACGGATGTCCACCATACTTGTTGTGCCACTCGTCATAAGGAATCAGGTGCGGGCATGCTTATTGTCATTGTCATGCGGCTATTTGAGCAGGGAGTTTTGGATTCATTTCTCACTTTGGTCATAAAGGAATTACTGTAGCAGTTCGAGGCTTGGCACCTCGGACCTATCCTTACACGGAGCATTCTTCGTACCTTCCGGGCCAAAAGAAATCGGAAAGCTACCGTATACCAACTTGCAAATGATCAAAGCAAAACCAGCGTCGTTCGTTAGAAGGCTTACCAGGTTCGCTGGTACACTTGCATGCAGGCCTGGGTCGAAGTGTTAAGACATTCGAAAGTGTTGTACGATTAAAAGATGAAAATTACCAAAAAAAAAAAAAAAAAAAAAAAAAAAAGAGAAAAATTTAAAGGATGAAAGCTAATTGATGCGTTTCTGTTCGTATAAATTATAAATAAAAATGATTACAACTAAAGCATGCCCTGGCTGATTTTGTTGTGCTCGTCGCTTTGGAAACGACAGGTGCATAGCCTTTTATCTAATCTATGGCATATGTTTAGGGTCACAATAATATTTAAAATTGTGTTAAAAAAATAAAAGTTAATATTTAATTTATTAATTATTTAATTAAATATATATGTAATATAATAATATTAACTTAATATCAATTTTTATTTTTTTTATATAAGTTTATGATAAAAAAAGTAACCTTAATTAAGGTAAAAGTTAGAAAAACTCTTTATTAAATCATAGTAAAAGTTTGCCCTATAATTTCCTATTTGTATATATAACATCTCCTTGAAATTTTTATTAAATCATTGTAAAAGCTTGCCCCTTAAGTTCCTACTTGTATATAACTTCTCCTTTAAATTTAATTTTTTTGGCAAAAGGCACAAATTCTCCTCAAATCATTGCCTTCAAATATATCGCTACTAAAAAGAATTAATGTACATAATTTATTATTTAAGATTTTTGTTTTTAAGAAATCAGTTAAAATTTAATGGTTATTGTTAACTTTTTGTTAGATTTCAAAAACAACAGTTTAATAGAATTTAATGATATTTGTTAAATTTAAGTCAATTTCTTAAAAATGAAAATTTGAAGTGATAAATCATGTCAACATTTTTTTAGATGGTGGTTTGCTTTAATGCAATAATTTTAAAAGACAATTTACACATTTAATCTAATTTTTTTTTTAAAAAATGTGTTGTTTTATAACATATAAAGTGTTTATATAAGTTGCTTTCTTTAAAACTTGTTTATAAACAACTTTAAATACTAAAAGGTAATGTTTTTATACTGCAACTAATACTATAATTCTAAGTGGACTTTGGTCAAAGTGGTCTAGATAAAGGTTGGTTACTTATTTCATCAGCCAGTTTACTTCTATGGGACATTGGAAATCTAAATTTCTAAGTGAGTAATAGATAGTAATATTTTTTATATTAAATTTCTCTATATCGGAAAATTATATTAGATCTTATTAATTTAAATCTTAACTAATTCAAATCTATAAGAGAAGAAACTTTTTTAACACATGTTTATTTATTTATTAAATTTAAACTTAAATTTAAAATCTTATTTAAAAAAATTAAATTTTTTCTATTCAGACTAACATGTCATTAATATTAGATAGTATTATCATATTGTCCTTAATTACTTGTTGGAGAGTAGTATAAGTTTTGTAATAAGAACAATTTGCCAACTATACAGGCATCAATGAAATTATTCTTTGTTCACAATGAAAATGGCAAGAAATTTCGAAAACTAAAAAAGAGGAAAACATTCCAATTTATAGTCAAAGTAATTAGAAAAATTGATGCAAATTAAGTGCTTTCATTCTTGGAATATTGACCTTTAGAAAAATTGAATACCCTTCCTT